GGAGGAATTTACCATGGTCCAGAATAATCAGTATCAAAAAAAGAAAAATAAAGTGGAGCTCTGAGAATTGGAAATTCCTAGCTTGCACTAATGAATATCAAGTGGAAATGGCGTAGCCTCCCAGCTTAATGGCTCAGTGGAAACCTGAGCTATTTGCATGAGTACTCCGTTTCGTAAAGCACAGAAATGGCAAAGTTCATTTTCAAACGCAAAGGTCGTCAAGACATTTCGGGTGGATCATAAACTTTTTCCCTTTAGTTACGTCCTCGCCAATGTATCGCAGTTTTGCACTTTTCCGTTAGCAGCAGGGCACGCCATCGTTGTGATGATCACAACGGGTGGGGTCGTATTTGGTTCGCTGTTGGGAGAGGGACTGCCAAAGATCTATACAACTACTATTTCCGATAGTTGAAAATGATAGTTAAATCCTGACGACCTCCCCCTCCCCCTGCTCGGCGGCAAAATTTTGGAGAAAAAGCAGAAATTTTTTGGGAAATTTCGGAAAAACTGGGGGAAAATCTGAGAAATTTTTCCTGTTTCACTCTGGGTTATACCCTTTCCCCCTCCGCTCGGAAAAAGTGGTAGGAAGCTGGGAAAATCTAGGAAAGTGGTAGGAAGTTGGAAAAATCTAGGAAAGTGGTAGGAAGTTGGGAAAATCTAGGAAATCTAGGAAAGGTAGCATGGGGAAGGGGGTCGTATTCTAGGATGGAATTAGGGGGTGTCGTATTTCCCCACAACGCGATGGCGTGCCTGTTCAGCAGCAAAAGAGGCATACTTTCCACGTCCATTTAGAATCGTAGTGGCTTTTTGAAAGCAATACGGGCTATACAATGGCACACGAGGGCTAGCCGATACGCAAGTCAGCGTTTTTATCTTCCTAGACGAGTCAGCTACAAGTTTACTGGCTCCGGTGGAATGGAAGGCATGACTGGCCGAATTGGGAGCCGAGCTAGGATTCAGCCGCTGTACCGCGCGGGAGAGGGTCTTTTGCCACTACACAGCATCTGCCCTATGATTGAGATAATGAACTGAGACTTACGGTTAGAATATGAAGCAGTTCAACCGTTGACTTGAAATTCGGTTGCCTGCGGTCCCAGACGTTCGTGAGGGAGTTGTCAGCAAGTGCCAAGGGAGTCGTCTCGTATATTTGCGTTTAGAACAGAGGACAAGGATCTCGCGGGTGGACTTTTAAATCTATTGGGGAGAACAACCTTCGCAGTGCTCTCTCGGGGAAAGTCCTCGTTCTAATTCCCCTGGATTCAACTGGCGTATACGCTCCATTTCACGCCGAGTAGGTTAATTTTACAACGGATTAATCCGCCGCGAACCGCGGGTTTTGCGAGAATTGGAGAGAGGGGGTATTGTGGATGAGCCTGACGCCAGGGCATCCTTTCTGGAATGACGCAAGGCTTGTATGGCCTGGGCGGAATTCGATCTTAGCATTAGGAACAGCCACGCAATAATGGCATCATCACTCATATTAAAACCTTATCGTGGTCAATCGGCTTTAATCAGATCGTTCTGTCGCTCCGCTTTTCCTTAGGAAGACCTCACACTATTAGTCATCCCTATTCGATATTATGAAGAAATTGATATATTAAATTCATAAAGCATGAGGCTTGATCAAACCCTTTTTTTGGGTGCGCCACGCTTTCCACTTCCACCCAGAATGGCAGTAGGACTTTGAAGGCCACTCGGCCTATGCAGTTGCCTGCCGAGAACGGTCATGGTGCAAGTGAAAGTTTTTCAGGCAATTTTAGCATTAGTCAATCAGAACTAAGGTAGAGAGTTTGTTTAGCCTGGGCGGGAACCGATCAGAAAGTCTACATCCGAACCGTACAGGGTATGCGATGCCACTTTCCCGTGAACCATCTCCGGCCACAAAGCTGTGGTATAGGCTGAAATACACGGTATGTGTGTTCTGCATTGAGTGTTAATTTTTTAAGGAGAGGTTTAGGTATTGTTTTGACATTTCCCTCTCCACAAGATTAGTGAACACGAATCCGGCAAGGGGGAATATAGTCTTGGCGTTGGGGAGATTTTCCACCTTTTGAAACCCACCCTTCACATTTTGCCCTTTTGGTGAGACCCCCCCCCTCTACAACCGACCGATCATATCATCCAACTTAACCAAAACTCTGCCGCTGAGTAGGGAATGGGGGACTAGAATTTGCGGCGCCACCGAGTGGAGATACGTAGTGCGCATGAAATGGAAAAGCACGACGAGTTGGCGCAGGTTCCGAGAGGGTGCGACACGATTCTTTTCTCCACCGCTCCATCCCCTCTTTTCGAGGAGCTGGACACTTGATCTTCAGCTTGGGAATTCAGAAGGAAACTCGATTCTCCTAAAATAACAGTCAGCGCTGGTATCTATGCATACGTCTCCACCAGCGATTTCTTCCGCCATGGTAGGATGGGCGGATAGTCATAATTGTGGTGCCTCTTCATTAGTGACCATTTCTGGTAAAAAAAGTCGGGCTCATTAATAGAGAAAGCACAAGCCCCTTCCAGCCGTTATCAAGATCTCCGCTAATCTGATTATCGTGGAACGTGACGCCATTCTCCTTCTGGCATCACTCGTCTTCTGAGGTCACTGAGAGCTTTTACGGAACTGTACTCCGCCCGATACTGATATGATATCAGGGTTCACTGTCTAGTTACCAAGCCGATAAGTCCTGTATACGACTGTAGAATCAGAGCAGATCCTGCCATAGGAGAAAAAAATTGCAAAATACGAACACCCTCCCACATCCTCCATCCAATTCAGCAATTTTTTAAACACTCCCCAACTTGCTTTCCAGAGAAATTCTCCAGTTTTCCCGGGAAAGTACTAAAAAAAAAAGAAAAGTACAGAAAGAAAGTACAGAACTACCGTCGAGCGGGCGACTGGAGGGGGTGCCACATAGTGCCTTTGAAATGCTGCGAACCGTACAGTCGATGACTTTCCACAGTAAAAGTTACTAAGGATTGATGCCTTTGTTTGGTTCATAATAGCCACCACCCTTCTGTTTACACCATCAACTATTATTTTAATTGTTTTTATTCGGTCTTAAATTTGTTAGTTACCGGAGTCGACTCTCTGTATTGTTTGCTGATCAACAGGACAGGTTCTGCTTTCATGTTTTGCAGCTTGTCAGTAGTTTCCCATCGCTCCTCAAACAGAACGCAACATTGTTGGAAGAGTGCCATCAGGAAACGGTCGTACTTGTTCGCTGGGGCGTAAGGAGATGGTATCCCGTCGGTGGGAGAGGGCGTATCTGATCATGACAGAAATTTTTCCTAAATGAGGAAATTTTCCTGGTGGTTGACTTCATATGGTGTCTCCCGTCTACAGTTAAGTCCGTTGAGGGAATAGCCGAACTGCTGTCCAGCTACTATTCCATTTTCAGTAGTTGAACTTAACAGTTCTTGCTGACGATCTCCCTCCCCACCCTCCCCCTCCACCCTCATCTCGACAGCAGTTTTCCTTCAGCGGAAGATACTGATGGAATCTTTGGTCAAGTTCAGGTTAAGGATAAGTGGTAGCAAGTTGGGGAAAGTAGGAAAATGGTTGATCGGATGGGGAAATAGAGGGATCATCTCGGTGAAAAAAATATTGGGAGGGGCTGTTATCTGAAAAATATTGGGATGGGCTGTTAACCGGCACCGCCATATCTCCCATCTCGATGTTGTCCCCTGTTCTCAAGCCACTTCGTGCGGCATTACGCAATGCTATCCGGTCACATGGACAAGATTGATTTCCCGAACAGTTCTGGTCGATCTCTGGTTTGGCCAACAAACCAAAAACCCTGCTCATCTACATGACTACGGGCTATAATCCCTGGCTCCCGCACAGCGAATTTCATTTCAGTGTCGGTGTTGTTTTCTGGGCGGGGCTACGCATAAAATGGCGCCGACAAAACACTGAGAGGGGAGAGTGCTGGACAGCTGAGGAGAGTGTGGGATGGTAAGTCGATCTAGAGAAATGCTTAGGGTATCATTGACAATAACCGGTCGCGCGCCCCGTCCGACGTGTCGTCGTTCCCCTCCCCCGTGTGATCATTTCGAGTTCCATCGGCCGCCTCTCAATAGCCGTCATCAGCATCATCACCATCACTATCATCTCTAAGAAACAAAAGAGAAGAAATACCATGCTATCACAGATTCTTCTGATCTCGGCCATTATCAGCACTGTTCACGTGCAGAATGTCGAATGCACCCATGAAGGTATGCAGAAGTTCTTATGATGCGCTCCTTTTAAGATTCTTTCTCTGGAGATCTTTCTTTGGCCGACAGTCTTTCATGCTTGAGATTGCTTGATTGGCTTAGAAACTTGCCCCGATACCGATAAAACCGAACTGGTATGGGAAGACCGAGTATGTGGAGCGTGGCTCTTTATACCAGTTTGTGAAGCTCTCAAAGCTCTCAAGTCTCTAGAACAGGGAGGCCCCTCTTTGGTAATCTCCCAGGAAACAAATCTCCCAGTGTGTAGTTTCTCATGCCAGTGCCAGTTCAGGAAAAATGACGCGTCACCCGGGCAGCTCCCCAGTGCTGGACTCATTGGCATGCCGTCTGTTGAGGGCTAGGGTTGTAGCGGGGTAATTGACTAAGGCAGGTGAACAGCGGGAGGTAAACAACTGCTCCAGGTAAACGCAGCTACCAAAGTCAGGAGGCTCGGCTCGAGTGTGAAGCCGCCCTTAATTCTAGATTTATTAGTTATAAATATGTTGTTCTATTACTTTCAGTATGGCATATGTCATTTTGTTTATTTGTTTGTTTGTTTACTACTGGACCGCTAAAACCTGCCACCTTGCTATTACAATTTCTGTTGTACATCTCAGGAAGCCATGAAGAACGATCCGGTAAACTTCACTTTTTTTGAGAAGTCAGGGAATTTCTGGGTGATGGGGTGATCAGGGAGGGGAGGGGTAAAAGGCAGGCATAAAGGCACATTTCACGATTGCACTCCGTAAGCAATAGGGTTCAAAATTGAGGTGTTGGTGCTAGCTGATTTACTAGCGATGAAGAACATATATAGAAAAAAATAAAATAATAAAACTGACCTCAATAAGGCCTTCATTCTTGAAGCTGATCATGGCAACTGGACAAGCATAAGACGGCCAAGATTAAGTGCAAGGCGCAAAAGACGGCAATGTATTAAAGACACATGGTACGCTCACACACATTGAGGGTGTATGTGACTATCAGCCCCCCAGCTGTCGATGTGTCGTGGTCTCCCCGCGTGAAACTGCACGGGGTTAGAGTACAGGGCCGTGGGAAAGTCTAATTCGTTTCGGACTTTGCAGCATGAACAACACCTCAAATGTTATCCGCATCAGGAAATTGCGTTTTACTTGTATTCCAAAGGGCAATTACAGGACTTGGCAAAAAGCCAAGAGAGCTGCGCGCGACACGCGCCGCGCGGAACGGCTGTTAGCATAAACGGTAGGCGGAGCATGGACGAATTAGACTTTCCCACGGCCCTGTACTCTAACCCCGTGCAGTTTCGGGCGGGGAAACCACGACACATCGACAGCTGGGGGCTGATAGTCACATACACCCTCAATGTGTGTGAGCGTACCATGTGTCTTCAAGGCGAAAGAGAGGACCAAAAGGCGGGGGGAGAGAGAGCACAACAAAATTACCAAGACAACACGGAAACGTGGGATGGCATAGGCATCATGGACCTAAGCGATTAGCTTGCTACCTGCTTTCTGCTCACTTTCGAGCTACCTAAAGAGCAGTTCCTTGCCAGCTGTGGAGCCACGTTACCTATTTGTGAAAAAGTTTGAGAATTTCGCTAATCACAGGGTCTGGCTTTAGAGTAGCCCGCTTAGGATGGGCTCCCTTCGCATCCGGCTTTTCTCTTGAAAAGGAACCTTGCACATACCTGTCCCTTCGCTTCGGTGGAAGCCTTGAGCTCACTGAAATCGAGAAATCCTAGAAGCGCAAGCGTCGCTTTGGATTAATCAACTTGAGGCTTTCGAACTTGAGGCTCTAGTGACCATCTCCTGATTCGACTAATGGGGATGTTATTTTGAGCGTGGTACACCAACTCGTAAAGATCAGTTCTATCCTAAAGATGACCCTACCTTTGACCTTCGTCTTAAGTCTGATTACGTGTGAATTTCCAATTTTTTACCGAACCTTTGATTTTTGCCAAATTTCTCGTTTTATATTTATACGTCCTCTTTATCCTTTCGAATCGCAAATATGCTGATTTGTAGGCAAAGAAATATCATTGATTATAAAAAACATTAAGAGAGCAGCGTGGGCTAGCAAACGAGGTAGCCCAGCTCCCGTTTTGCACGTGGTCGCATATTGAAGCTGAACGAAAGCCGCGAAATCTATAAAATTTGGCGCAGTTCG